CCTGCGGTTGCATTTTTTGAGTCACATGTCCATTTTTCAAGGGGTGCAAATGCACCCCTTACACATTTTTAACACATTTCTACAATGGGGCTGTGTGAAAGCAGCCTAAAAAAAACAAAACACTGACAGTTTTTAGTAGCCTGTGCAAAAACTCTGAATGGAAGTTTCTACCCTCTAGGCTGAAGCTTACATTGACTTTGAAAACGGTTGGATTGAGTCATCATCTCAGGACTGCTGGTCATTTGGGTTAGGTTCCTCGCTGATGATTTAGACAGTGTAAGTTGAATTTCAGATGATATTTTACATTCCCATTTGTAAATGTTAAGCATAAGCATCAGATGAATTTCCTAACATTAAACTCTAACCCTTTTTAGTAGGGAGTTTAAAATGTTTTCAGTAAAGATAAATAATTTCAGTATAATCTATTCCAACAAATGAAAAGACATGCTGTAAAAGAAAAATTTAATTTTTTTTTTTCCACTTATTTGAATTTTTTAATTACATATAGTTACAAAATTTCAAAGACTGAAAAATGTCTTGTAAAACATTTCACTACTGTCAAGATTCAGTATTGATGTTGTGGGAACTCGCTTCAACGTGGTAGAGCTTTTAAACGCACACAGCTACTCGCTTATTTTTCAAGGCCTTTTTTAGCCCACTTTTATTTAAATGACAGTTCAATAACATAAGAGGTTCCCACGCAGGGGTATCCACCATCACACAAAACACCGATTCAGCCTCCTGGCTTATACTCAACTTGATGTCTGTCTCCTGCAGACTTCTTCAAGACACGGCTCTTGCACGCCGCTAGCACACAGCTAGACTCTAGCAGCCCCTTGCTGCTTTTGGCTTCCACCTCTCCTAGGTGAAGCCCACCTGACTTCCAGGCAGTGACCTCCTGTCTTCCAATTGGAGCCCTCCTGACTCCTAGCTGCGGGGGGTGGAGCCCTGCTGACTCCTAGCTGCCGGGGTGGAGCCCAGAACCCTGGTCCTGACTCTCTCTAAAGGCCTGCACACACCTGTGCAATCAGTCTCCTGGCCATTCCCAAAACCTGGTCCCAGGATTGGAGATTTCATCCCTCCCAGATCTCTTTGAAATCTCCAGGCTCCAGATCCCAAAACAGACTTTACAAACAAAGGAGGAAAGTAAAAAGCCACTTTCCTCCGTATCAAACACATACCCTGGAGCCCCTCAACCTGCCTTGTTGAGAATCCAGGGCGACAGATCGCCACACTGTCACATATCCCCCCCCTTTGTTTTGATCCCGTACGGGGCAGAACACACAACTTATCTCTTCTGGCACCTCTGTGCCATCTCTCACTTACAGGGGTCCAATCTGGTCTAACCATACCTTTCCTAAGGGGAACTCTACCCAATGACTCCTTTGGTGTCTCTCCCCAAGCCCCATTGTCACTCTGCTATGGGCTCTACTCAGACCTTCCCTATTCTTTTTCCGCGTGCATTTCCATAACCACTTTCTCTCCTGAGATCTTAATGGGGTCCCCCTGGCCTTTCTATTGACCTTTCTGCCCCTTTGCTTCAGGTTCCAAGGTTTCCTAATACCGCTCTCAGTATTACTGTCCCAAGGCTGTAGGGGAACTATTTCTACTCCAATTGGATCTGTATCCAAACCCGGTACAGATGAGCTCTCATTTGATCTACTTTGCCAGTTTTTCACATACCATTTGTCCCTGTATTTCAGGTGTCTTATCAGACCTGCTACATAAATCTCTTTTTGGCCCAATGACCCTGATTTCTTGGTGCACATCCATTTGAGCCCTGGTCAGGATCTCTGCTGTTCTCTGGTCCATGTTCGGCCCTTCCATCTCATGTGGTTTGTCCACTGGTGCAATTAACACGCCCTTCACTGACAACTGACCAGCACCAACCTGGACCATAGCAGCAGAAATGCTTCCCACCTGGCTGTCATAGGAGGTGAAACCTTTGACTCATTTTCCATTTCTCCAAAACATTTCTCATATATCACATTTACAGGTAATCCAGCGGCATACCCTGATACCGCTTTTAACACCATCAACAAATTCAGAAATAAACCACTTTCTTGTTCCCGTTTGATATGTACAGCCAGCCATTCGGTGCTCCACCTAGTGGTACTCCGCAGTACCAGACCATCTGACTGTGGAGGAGACACCCCAATATACATTGGTTGTACATTCCAAAGTTCAAGCATCTCCTTTAATACTTTGGTTACAACCCAACCACGTGACTCCAAACCTAAGACCTTCCTGACCATACTTAGGGCACTGGGAACGCTGAGAGACTCACCTGCTGAGACTTGAGAAGTTGAAATTTTTAAAGGGACCTCCTCCAAGCTGGCGATAACCACAGCCTGGTGCTCCACCAGAGCGCTGCCATGTGCTGGGCTCACTCTCAAAGTCTCAGACTCCGCATCCACAAGCTGCTCCTCCTGATCATTCCCAGTGACAACATTATTTTGACACTCCATGCCAACATCACTTTTTGGGTCACAGACAAAGTCTCTGCTGTATGCACGCCCTTATCTATAGGCCGTTCTATAGATCCTCCTGTTTTCACAGCAGAAACAGTGTCCACATTTTTTTGTATAAAAGCCTCATCTAACAAAGAGATTAGCCTTTTACCCCAACTATCCCAGTCCATTGTATATGTGCTCAATTCGCCAGTGCTCCTCAGCACCGAACCATCTGCCCAAGGAGACACATAAGAATAGACAGGCTTAGTTGCAGATCCATTGCACAAATCACTCTGGATCACATCAGACTTGGGTAACACCTGTTTTCCAACCGCAGGTTGCAATACCTCACATCCACCACTTTGCTCTGGTGGTGCTTCCTGCATTACCCACACATTTGCATTTTTGCCAGGCTGCATTAACCCGCTGTTCACCTGAACACTTTCAGTAATATTAGGCTGCAGCAACACACTCCTATGACAAGGTGCAGTTCCACTCTGCTCCACCAGAGTGACATCGCAGTTGTCCAGGGTAACCTCCGACTCCAATACACGGAGACCCCTGGAGATGTCTAAGGACACCTGTGCTGTCTGACCACCAGTTGCTATGGGAAATGACCCATCTTTAATTACAGCTTTTGCACTGCAAGAGCTTAGGGTTTTCCCAACAGCAGTACATTTCACATCAACAACAACATTAGCATTTTTAGCTCTTGTGGGCTGTACTATCCCACTACCAACCTGTGACTGGCACACATTCGTGACATCATCACTTTCTTTTTGAGAACCATGCACAGGCTTTACTTTAACCCCTAACTCCCCACTGTACAAGGCACTGCACAGGGAAAAGTCACTCTCAAAAGCACATTCAGTGGCCCAACTAACTGGGGTTACTCCTACATCAGAATGGACAGTCTCATAACCAGTCCTTCTCAACATGACAGTCCCAGCCATGGTTTTATCACACACAGTCTTACCCACCACAGTAGTAGGTGTCACCATCTTCATTTGAGTGCGTGGTCTCATAAACGCATCCTCAACTGCACTTTCCTTGGCAACTTTTCCCTTGCCCCAAGGTGAAGTAACAGACGCCCTCATAGGCTCCATGGACTCTCTGGCACCCCCTGCAGGCCCAACAGGAACTTCCTCCCTGTTGCCAGAGGTGGCTGCTGACATTTGAAAACAAGAATCTGGACTTGCAGTTGAAGACATTTGCCCAGTAGCAGCGGTATTCCAGAGTCTGGGACAGGAAAAGATCCCATGCCCCCACTGACCACATTCCAGGCATGGTACATTTCCACACTTATCTTTGTTGGGACACTGAGCCACATCTTCAATGCAGCTCCTCCTTCCAGGCACTACTTTTTCTCTGGTCGCCATGGGAGATTGCACTCTCCGAGCAGAACTTTGCTGGCTCTTTCCAACACTCTGTATTGGCTCCTCTTGATACCACTTGCCATGATCCTTGTACGACATGGCCCCCCGTACACAGACAGCCCGACTGGCCTCCTCTGTGTTGCTATGGGCCTTCACTCTTGGTCCTGGCCTCTGGGCAGCCCCTCTCCTTGCACATAGCATAGGCTTCTCTCTGCTGGACCAACTCTCAAGCCGTGACACATTCACATTTTTCACAACAGCTACTGGTTTAACTGCAGCAGTGTTGCCAGGGGCAACAACACCCCTCTCCCAGGTACGGACATCCCGGCAGCTCCCTCCTTGCACTGAAGGTTGGCTTGCTTTCCTCTGTAGGTTGGTTCAATGCTGCCAGGTGCCGCTTGCACCAGTCCACAGCAGACTCACCCACATCTAAATTTCCCGGCTTGGCTGGGGCATGCGGTGTATAACCCCCTAGCCACAGGGCTCTATCTCTCGCTTCAGCAAACATTGCTTCCTTTTTCTGTTTTGACCGCCCCATCTTTGCAGTCATGCACACAGCAGTGTGTTACACAGTTCAGCAACACCATTGAACACTGTCTCTTTAAGGCAAAGTCCTTTTCACTAGCAGGTTCTCCTCACCTGCACACACAGATAGTGCAGACTTATGCACCAAACAGTTCATATAACTGATGAACTTACTTCATCGCAGGGATCTTCCGTTCTGCCCACTGCATCCTCCACCATATGTGGGAACTCGCTTCAACGTGGTAGAGCTTTTAAACGCACACAGCTACTCGCTTATTTTTCAAGGCCTTTTTTAGCCCACTTTTATTTAAATGACAGTTCAATAACATAAGAGGTTCCCACGCAGGGGTATCCACCATCACACAAAACACCGATTCAGCCTCCTGGCTTATACTCAACTTGATGTCTGTCTCCTGCAGACTTCTTCAAGACACGGCTCTTGCACGCCGCTAGCACACAGCTAGACTCTAGCAGCCCCTTGCTGCTTTTGGCTTCCACCTCTCCTAGGTGAAGCCCACCTGACTTCCAGGCAGTGACCTCCCTGTCTTCCAATTGGAGCCCTCCTGACTCCTAGCTGCCGGGGTGGAGCCCTGCTGACTCCTAGCTGCCGGGGTGGAGCCCAGAACCCTGGTCCTGACTCTCTCTAAAGGCCTGCACACACCTGTGCAATCAGTCTCCTGGCCATTCCCAAAACCTGGTCCCAGGATTGGAGATTTCATCCCTCCCAGATCTCTTTGAAATCTCCAGGCTCCAGATCCCAAAACAGACTTTACAAACAAAGGAGGAAAGTAAAAAGCCACTTTCCTCCGTATCAAACACATACCCTGGAGCCCCTCAACCTGCCTTGTTGAGAATCCAGGGCGACAGATCGCCACACTGTCACATAGTATAAATGTAGTAGATATGTTAGTTTCTACAATCAGAAATGTAGGACAAGCATTTCTGAAAAAAAAGTAAATGTATTTTAGCAGAAAATTAATATCTGCAAAGCAAACTTGAAAAATTAGAATATCGTGCAAAAGTTCATTTATTTCAATTGTGATGATTATGGCTTAAAGCTCATGAAACCCCAAATCCACAATCTCAGAAAATTAGAATATTGTGAAAAGGTGCTAGGCTTAAAGTGTCCCACTCTAATCAGCTAATTAAGCCATAACACCTGCAAAGGGTCCCTGAGCCTTTAAGTGGTCTCTCAGTCTGGTTCAGTAGGAATCACAATCATGTGAAAGACTGCTGACCAGACAGTTGTGCACAAAACCATCATTGACACCCTCCATAAGGGAAAGCCTCAAAAGGTAATTGCAAAAGAAGTTGGATGTTCCAAAAGTGCTGTATCAAAGCACATTAATAGAAAGTTATGTGGAAGGGAAAAGTGTGGAAGAAAAAGGTGCACAAACAGCAGGGATGACCGCAGCCTGGAGAGGATTGTCAGGAAAAGGCCATTCAAAAGTGTTGGGGACTTTCACAAGGAGTGGACTGAGGCTGGAGTCAGTGCATCAAGAGCCACCACACACAGACGGATCCTGGACATGGGCTTCAAATGTCGTATTCCTCGTCAAGCCGCTCCTGAACAACAAACAACGTCAGAAGCGTCTTACCTGGGCTAAAGAAAAACAGACCTGGTCTGTTGCTCAGTGGTCCAAAGTCCTCTTTTCTGATGAGAGCAACTTTTGCATCTCATTTTGAAATCAAGGACCCAAAGTATGGAGGAAGAATGGAGAGGCACACACTGCAAGATGCTTGAAGTCCCAGTGTGAAGTTTCCACAGTCTGTGTTGATTTGGGAAGCCATGTCATCTGCTGGTGTTGGTCCACTGTGCTTCATTAAGTCCAGGGTCAACGCATCCGTCTACCAGGAGATTTTGCTTCCTTCCGCAGACGAGCTTTATGGGGATGCTGATTTCATTTTCCAGCAGGACTTGGCACCTGCCCACACTGCCAAAAGCACCAAAACCTGGTTCAATGACCGTGGAATTACTGTGCTTGATTGGCCAGCAAACTCGCCTGACCTGAACCCCATAGAGAATCTATGGGGCATTGCCAAGAGAAAGATGAGGCAGGAGACCGAACAATGCAGAAGAGCTGAAGGCTGCTATTGAAGCATCCTGGTCTTCCATAACACCTCAGCAATGCCACAGGCTGATGCCATGCCGCATTGAGCCAGTAATTGCTGCAAAAGGGGCCCAAACCAAGTACTGAGTACATATGCATGCTTATACTTTTCAGAGGTCCGATATTGTTCTATGTACAATCCTTGTTTTATTGATTGCATGTAATATTCTAATTTTCTGAGATTGTGGATTTGGGGTTTTCATGAGCTGTAAGCCAAAATCATCACAATTATGACAAATCACGGCTTGAACTATCTTGCTTTGCATGTAATGAGTCTATCTCATATATTAGTTTCACCTTTTAAGTTGCATTACTGAAATAAATGAACTTTTGCACGATATTCTAATTTTTAGAGTTTCACCTGTATAACTGTGTTTATACCGTATGTGGTGCATAAGATGGAAGATATCAAAATGTCCTTTAATGTAAAACACACATACATGCTCATTGTTATGCTGCAGCATTGCTGTGATGCTGCTGCTGCCCCATTGGCCCTAAGAACTGAGCAATCACATGACCGCTGATTGTTCAGTTCTCAGTCTTCTCTCTGCTCTGCTCCTAAAGCACTCACTAGTGTCAGGATAGAGAGGGGGGTGGGCATGGCTGGCTTCAGCTCTTGGCTGCGCATTGAGAGCCAGAGCCAGCTGGCAATCAGACAGCTGGGTCAATCCCAACAATGTGGTCGGGATCCTTCCAGAGCCTGGAGGTACTTTGTGACATCAGCTGACTGCAGGCAATAGCCCACAATAAGCTTACTCTGGGCCACAGAAGAAAAAGCTTACTTATCTTTTAGTGTAAAACTTTAATACGAGCTTGTATCAGGAAAAGTGGTTTAAACAAGGGACCATTAAATAAACAACAACATAATAAACCGGACAACATTTTCAGTGCATAACGTAATACTTTTCAAAATAATACACGTGTGCAATATAAGTTGCTTGATTTTGATTCACTGACACCAAGGAATCCTTCTCTCCGGAAATAAATCAATTAAACTGAGCTCCAGGATAAGCAAATATTGTCTAAATGCATTGATCATGTGTATTGTTATTTGAATCTTGGTGTGTTTTGTGTATTTCTCTCAGATAGAAACATAGAAAAGTGAGGTTAGAAGAAGACTGAGTGGTCCATTGAGTCCAACCATTTTTTTTTTCCATTGGCTTTTTTGTCTGAGTATAAATCTGTGTTTGTCCCAAGCATATTTGAAGCTATTTACTGTTGACTGGCTCACTACCTCTGCTGGAAGGTTATTCCAAGCATCAACTATCCTTTCAGTAAAATAATACTTTCTGAGATTATTTTTGAACTTTCCTCCAGTTAGTTTAAGGTCATGTCCCCGTGTTCTTGATTTTGGTTTCTTGTTGAAAATCCTGCCCTCTTGAACCTTATGAACCCCCTTGATATATTTAAAGGTTTCAGTCATGTCTCCCCTTTCCCTTCTTTCCTCCAGACTGTACTTATTACGTTTCTGACGTTGCTCTTGATAAGTTTTATTCTTCAGACCTTTCACCATTTTTGTTTCCCAGCTCTCTGGGCTCGTTCTATCAATATCATCCTAGAATTCTGTTTACTTTAGCCACTTTTGTTAGCTGTCTCTGGACTTGTTCTATCTTATCAATATCTTTTTGTAAGTGATGTCTGCAGAACTGGGCATAGTATTCTAAATGAGGTCTAACTAAAGATCTATATAGGGAAATCGGGACCTCCTTCCTCCTGCTGGTGACCCCTCTAGTGATGAATGCTAGAATTCTATTCGCTTTCCCCACTCCCTGGCCACACGGTTTGCTCATATTGCAATCATCTGAAATAATTACCCCCCAAAGCCTTCCTCTGTAGTGCTGGCCAACACTGTATCCCCAATGTTGTACTCTATCTAGGGATTCTTTTTCCCTAGGTGCATTATATTAAATTTAGAAACATTGAACTGCAATTTCCACTTCTTTGACCAATCTTCTAGCAATGCCAAATCATATTCCATGTTACAGACACCTCCCAGGATATCAACCTTATTGCACACCTTTGTGCCATCAGCAAAAAGACATACCTTACCCAAAAAGCCTTTAGTTATATCACTTACATATAGATTAAATAAAACAGGACCTTCCTAGATTATAAGCTCGAAAGAGTAGGGCCCTCTAACCCCTCGTGTGCTGTTTGTTGTTGCTGTACTGTTTCATGTATTGTCGTCCCCCCCCTCTATTGTACAACGCTGAGCAAACCCTTTGGCGCTATATAAACTCGATGTAATAATAATAATAGTAGAGAGGCTTGTGGTACACCACTAGTGACTAATCTCTGTTTTGAGTGAACCCCATTTACAATCACACTCTGGTATCTATCTTTTAGCCAGCCCCATATCCACTGTACCACCCAGGGGCTAAGTCCTAGCTTGTACAACTTTTGCATTAGATCGTTATGTGGAACTGTATCAAATGCCTTGTTGAAATCTAGATATGCTATGTTCACAGCACCACCCTGGTCCAAAACATTGGTAATACAGCCAAATTCAATCAGATTAGTCTGACATGATCTGCCCTCAGTAAAGTCATGCTGCTTTGGGTCCTGTTAGTTGTGTGTCTTTAAGTGATTAATGATCCTTCTTTTCAGGAGTGATTCCATTAATCTGATTACAACCGATGTTAAACTCACTGGCCTGTAATTGCCAGCTTCTACTTTGCTTCCATTCTTGTGAATAGGTACAATATTAGCTGCCTGCCAGTCATGGGGAACTTCTCCTGTTAGAAAAGATTGATTAAAAACATCTGTTTAATGGTCCAACAACTATACCTCGAAGTTCTCTTAGAACTCTGGGATGAATACCATCAGGGCCCACTGCTTTATTAACCTTTAACCAAGCCAGTTCTACTACCTCTGTCTCCGAAAATCCTAAAAATGAACTATTACTATACCCAATATGATTTTGTAACTTATTATTGTTAGTACAATTTATTTCTGAGAAGACTGAACAGAAGTAGTTGTTTAGGTGGTTTGCTACATCCAGGTCTCCCTGAACATAAATGTTGTTCCCAGTTTTCATTTTAGTGATCCCATCTTATTTTTTCTTTCTATCGCTAATGTACCTAAAAAAGGTTTTATCTCCTTTCTTAACAGATTTACTGTTATGATTTATTTCCTCCTCTTTCTGTGCTTTGGCAGTGCTGATAATGTGTTTGACCTGCTTTTGTCTATTCTTGTACTCTTCTGTCAGCTACTACTCCTGTTTCCTTGAATCTCCTATATGCTGATTTTTTTCCTTTACTATCCTACTCATCTTTTTAGTGAATCATTTGTTTTTTTCTTCTGTTTATTCTTACTAACTTGCCTGACATATAATCTAGTTGCCTCCAGGATGGTAGATTTTAACAATGTCCACTGATTACTTACTCCTGTTGTTTTACTCCAACCTTTCAATTAATTTTTTAGAAATTCACCCATTTCAGCAAAATTTGTTCTTTTGAAATCTAAAACTGTTGTATATGATTTTTCAGTTCCTATTTTAATATCAAACCGAAGACATTGGTGATCACTAGAACCCAAATTTTCACCCACCTCAACATTAGACAGTCAATCCCCATTTATCGGTACTAGGTCTAGAATATGATCACCTCGGGTTGGAGTTTTTACTAACTGTTTTAGAGAAGCCCCATTCAGTGCTTTCATTACATACCTGCTCCTGCTTGTAATAGGTCAAAACCTCCCCCATCATTGCCATTTGAGTTATCTCATCAATCTTCAATCTGTCCTGGGGACCTGTAAACTAAACCATTTCTTTTTTGTTTATTATATCTTCATTAAATTTTTTTTCTATACAAAATCCATTTCAAGCCAACATCATGTCATACAAAAATCTATACCAATTTACCTCCCCTATCCCCAGTTTTTACCACCCCCCCCCCCCCTCCCCCTTCCCCAACTTTCCTACTC